ATGTGTGGTCAAGTATTGTCTTGCAAGAGGATTGGTCTGCCTCTGTTGTCCAGTCTCAGCTGTTTAATCACAAGCATCCTTACTATTTCATCCTGGTTGCAGTAGACATCTGCTATGATCCAACTAACCAGGTTTCATGAAACTTGAATACCATCACTGGTATTACCACCAAACAGACCATTAGCTTTGATGAATATTTGGTTTTGGACTGTGTTTCAGCATTCATCTCTATCCAACCATTGTGCTAAATTTATGCAATTATAAAAAAGAATCTATTTTTCATCGCCTGTGACAATACAGTGTGGAAATGGTTTGCCTTTATGTCATGACAACAAAGAAAGGCAAACTTCAAGGCATTGTCTCTTCTGATGCTCGATTAATTCATGGGGAACCCATCAGTCCAGCTTCTTTACCTTGCCAATTTGCTTCAAATGGTCCAGTATCATTGGAATAGTAATGTTAAACCTTGCTTCTAATTCACATGTGGGTGGAGATGGATTCATTTCCACTACAGCTTTCAGCTTATCATTATCCACTGTGTTCTAAGGTCACCCATGTGGCTCATTTTCAAGATTAAAATCACCAGGCCAGGTGCGGTGGCTCACGCCTGTAATCCTAGCACTCTGGGAGGCCAACGTGGGTGGATTGCCTAAGCTCAGGAGTTCAAGACCAGCGTGAGTAAGAGCAAGACCGTCTCTACTAAAAACATAGAAAAACTAGCCAGCCATATAGTCCTGGTGGGAGGCAAAGGGATCACTTGAGCCCAAGAGTTTGAAGTTGCTGTCAGCTAGGATGCCACAGCACTCTACTCAGGGCACAGAGTGAGACTCTCTCAAAATAAAAAACGATTAAAATCACCAGAACTTCTCAAACCATTGACACCCTGTGCGTTCATTAGCTACATCCTTCCCAAATACTTTGTTGATATTTCAAGCTGTCTGCATTGCATTGGTTCCACAATGGAACTCATATTAAAAAATAACACAAACATACACAAAAATGAAAAAAAAAAACAACACAGTTTTTTGGCTTGACACCTGTAGCACAGTAGTTACAGCGCCAGCCACATATACCAAGGCTGGCGGGTTCAAACCCAGCCTGGGTCAGCTGAAAAACGACAGATGCAACAAAAAAAATAGCCAGGCATTGTGGTGGGTGCCAATAGTCCC